GGGGGGGGGATTGTGTGTGAAGCAGGAGGGAGGGGGGCCCGGAGAGGCAGAGCGAGCCTGGGAGGTGGGGGAGAGAGAGGTGGATGGAGCGAGGTGGGGAGATGGGAGAGAAGAGAGACTGAGATGGGCCAGGCGGGCGGACAGGGGCAGAGAGACCGAGAGATGGGAGTTAGATGAGAGACGGGAGGAAAAGAGACAGATGGCGCAGAGTTCCAGAGACAAAAGACCTCGGGAGACACCAGGGAGAGACAGAGAAGGGCTGGGGACAGAGAGGGACAGGCCCTGGAGGACATGTCTGGGGGTGGTCGTGGAGTACAGAGATACCGGCAGAGACTGAGGGATGGAGGGGGAGAGGCAGAGGGGGGAGACTGCTGTGTGGGGAAAGATGGGGCGAGACACCTGGGGTGACGGGAGATGAGAAAACAGACCAGAGAGAGACAGCGAAGTGGACCAGAGATGGTAGGAGGAGACGGAGAAGGGAAGAGAGACAATGAAGAGAAAGGATGAAGAGGAAGAGAGAGAGGGAGGCAGAGAAACAGAGAAAGTTGGGGAGCTGGGGGGAGAGGAGGGTATAGGAGCAGAGGAGGAGGGGCTGCCCCCAGCAGGGGCCTGGGTGCTGGGGAGGGGGCACGATCAGAGAGGCCTCAGTAGACACGGTGGCGGGGGAGGCTGGAGGCTGGGGTGAGGGTGGCCGTGGGTGGGCGACTGGGCAAGCCGGGGTTGGGGGGAGTGGGCTGCCAAGGTTCCTCTGGTGTCCAAGGGGTGGGGTTTATGGGGGGAATGCTGCGGGTTCCTGAGGTGTGTGAGATCCTTGAGAGGCAGGGCGTGTGAGAGGGGTGGTGTGTTTAAGAGTCTGTAGAGGGGGAGGGTGGGTGGGTACCCCAGGGAGGGAGCATGAAGATAGCACACCCTCTGAGAGGTGGGGTCTGGAGGGGTGGAAGGATCTGGGGCTTGGGGTGTCCGGGATGGTGGGCGTCTGAGAGGAGCGGATGTCTGAGGGAGTAGGTGTCTGAGGGCGGTGGTGGTGTCGGGGTTGCTGGGGTATCTGAGGGAGAAGGGCTGACAGAAAACTAATGGTGGCGAAGGGTCTGAGAGATGGGGATGAGGAGGGGATGAGCCGAGGATCTGAGAATGAGGAACCCAAGAAGAGGGGTGTCCCAGGGAGTGGGGGTCTGAGAGGGGGGACCTGTTGCAAGGCGTTGGGGGGGAAGGGGGAGAGGCAGATCCAAGGGGTGCCTGAGGGTGGATGCAATCTAAGGGGTGGGGGTGTCTGAGGGGGGAGGCAGATCTGAGGGGAGGGGTGTCTGAGGGGGGAGGCAGATCTGAGGGGAGGGGTGTCTGAGGGGGGAGGCAGATCTGAGGGGAGGGGTGTCTGAGGGGGGAGGCAGATCTGAGGGGAGGGGTGTCTGAGGGGGGAGGCAGATCTGAGGGGAGGGGTGTCTGAGGGGGGAGGCAGATCTGAGGGGAGGGGTGTCTGAGGGGGGAGGCAGATCTGAGGGGAGGGGTGTCTGAGGGGGGAGGCAGATCTGAGGGGAGGGGTGTCTGAGGGGGGAGGCAGATCTGAGGGGAGGGGTGTCTGAGGGGGGAGGCAGATCTGAGGGGAGGGGTGTCTNGAGGGGTGTATGGGGGGAGGCAGATCTAAGGGGAAGGGGCTCTCTGAGGGGGCCCTTCTGCAGAGGAGGCAGGCCCAAGTGGTGAGGGTCTGAGAGGAGCAGCGGGTTTGAGGAGGGCATCTGAGAGGGCACTCCTGCGGGCGCTGGGGGCCGCTCTGTGGGGTGGGTGGGGCGGAGGGCAGGGCGGGCAGGGGCTGGGCCGGCCCCCTCCCAGCCCGTCGGAAGGCCGCCTGCCCGCCCGGTGCTGGCTGGCTCTGGGCGGACAGATGAGAGCGCGGGGCGGTGCTCGAGCTGGACCAGCCAGCCCGGGGGCCAGACGGGCGGGGTGGAGGTGGGGGCGCAGAGGTGGGGAGCGGGACAGACCGGGGACAGCCACAGAGGGAGACCAAGGGAGAGCCCGAGACGCAGAGACGGACCCCGAGAGGTCAGGCGCGAGGCGAGGGATGGAGAGACAGCGGCAGAGACGGTGCGGGGCGGTGCGGGACGCGAGTGTGAGCCGGGAGTGTGAGTGAGTGAGTGGCGAGGAGCGCGGAGGGAGGCTGGGGGCCGTGGTTAGTGGTGAGGCACAGAGAAGGGGAGGGAGGCTGCCAGGAGGACGGGCCGGGAGGGAAGGACCGGGCGCGGGACTGGGAATGACGGGGACCAGCGGGCAGAGGGGTGCCTGCAGGGGAAGGAGGGGGGGCAGGATGCGAGGACGAGTGCGGCTGGGGCCTGGGTGGGTGGAGGGGGACGTCCCCCGGCATTGCCAGCCCCCGACTGACTTGGTCTGTCTCTCTTGCTTGCTCCATCCTGTCCTCATCCATCTGTCTGTCTGGCCTCTCTGCAGGGCTGGCTCCACCATGGACTGTAGCTGTGTCTCCGACCTTCTCTTCGCCCCACCCGCCCTGCCGGCTCTCTGGACCCCTGGTAACTGGCCCAGACCTACCCCACCCTTTCCCCAGCCCTGGGACCTTCCCAGCCCTCTGGCCTCTCCTTTCTGCACCTCACTGTCTTTCCTCCATCTGCCCGGGGTCTTGGTCAGAGCCGCCTGAATCCCACCCCTTAGTGAAAAACTTGGCTAAAAACTTCACGGCCAGATGTTCCTGCCCCCTGCCTGCTGGGACACGAGGGTCTTTTGGAAGACAGGTGAGGTGTGGAGGTCTGAGCGGGACAAGGATGCTGGGGCCTGAAGACCTGGGGTCTCGGCCGGCCGCAATCTGCTTCCACCCAGGACCTGCAGGCAAAGAGAAGCAGGGAGACTGGAGACAGATGGGCGCTGATGGCGCAGGACTGGGGACGAGAGGGGGCACTAGACCAGGCGCTGGTGGACAAGTGGACAGACCGGACGACCCAGGCAGGGGGACACGGAGACTCGGCCCAACCAGCTGGAGTGGGAAAGAGGACGGCTTGCTTGGAAGTGGACACCCAGACCAGGGATGTGGAGGACAGTAAGACTTGGACGTGCATTTGAGTCCAAGTCACACGCCCCACAGATGGGCAGTGAGAGGGAGAGGTGTGTGTGTGTGTGTGTGTGTGTGTGTGTGTGTGTGTGTGTGTACACCACCAGGCAGAGAGACTTGGACGTGCATTTGAGTCCAAGTCACACGCCCCACAGATGGGCAGTGAGAGGGAGAGGTGTGTGTGTGTGTGTGTGTGTGTGTGTGTGTGTGTGTACACCACCAGGCAGAGAGACGAGACAGACTCCATGCTGGTTATTTAGGATCCCGGCGTGTGTCTCTGGGTCACCCTCCAGTTTCCGCCGGGGAAATGTGTGTCCATCTCTTTGTTGAACTGGTTCTGCCTGCTTGTCCGTGCATGTCCGAGGTCACCCGAGTGTCTACAGACTGGGTGTGCTGTGTGTCTTTGGGACTCTGAATGTCCACAATTCCAGGTTGGGGGGTGGGTTGTCTGCCAGCTTTCCTCAGTAGGCAAAGAGCCTTTGACTGCTCCTTCCATGGTGTGTGGTATTCTGAACCAAACGGAGGTCTAATCTTGCTGCATTTTGGGTTGCGTGGGTGGGTGGGTGGGAGGTCCCCCAGGCCTGTGTCGGGGGCTGTGTCTGTGTCTGGGGTGTGGGGCTGGTTCTTTCTGTCACTGAGTGTGGCTGCACCCTGGGGGCTGTGTGTCTTGATGTGTGTGTGTGTCTGTGTGCCGAGGTTGTGGGTCCTCCTCCCTCTCGTTGTGTTTGTGGGTCGGGACGTACAGCACACCCGAGAACACGCATGGAGGACAGGCCGTGTTGTGTGTCTTTGTGTTGTCATCTTTGGGGTCGTTTGGGCGTGTCTGTGTGATACAGCCGCTAGGACGTGTTCCGGGTGTGGAATGGGCCAGAGAGCGTGTGTTGTTGATTCGGCTGTCTTCTTAGATGAGAAAGACCCCAGACAGAGTTGAGAGAGAAATTCTCTCTTTAGGGAGGAAACTACCTGGCCTTCGCCAGCCTCGGGCAGACCCCAGGCAGCCTGGCTGCAACCCTGCTTCTCCTTGCCTCCCATCCCTGAAATTCTAACAAGTCAGAGAGGGCAAGGAACTGTCTTGAGACCACACCAGCAAGTGGATACCAGCAATCTCTCAGCTCAGAGACCCTGCCCCCGCCACCCCAACCACCTTCCTTTCCTGCAGGGCTCTCTGCGGACTGTAGGCTAATTCTGCCTTCTGTTTTCATGCCTGGGTCTCGGGTCTCTGAGGAGGGGTTGGGGACAGAGGCTGTGGCACAGGAGAAGTGGGACCCAGGGCCTGGGGCCTTGTAGGTAGGAGGTGAGATTTAAGGGTGGGCAAGCCCCTCTGTCTCCACCTAGCATCTGTATGCCTGGACACTGGGATGCAGGGCGCTCATCGGAGCTGTGGATGCTAAGAGCTGGTTGTGGGACTTCCCTGGAGGTCCAGCAGTTAGGAATCTGAGCGTCCACTGCAGGGGGCGTGGGTTCAATCCCTGGTTGGGAACTAAGATCTCAGGAGGTGAAAAAAAAAAGAGTTGGATGCTTGTAGTGGGGGCGGGGGCGGGGGGCTGCTGTACCATTAGGGTGTCACGAGGGTGTGACTGTCGGGTTGACACATGCGTCTTGGTGTAGCACTCACGGTCTCCACCACATGGTGTTTCATTTGGGCCTTTGGGGTTCTGTGTGTCTCTCATCACAGTTGTGTTGTTAGCGGGTCCCAGTGCTGAGGGGCCCGAGATGTGCAATCATGTGTGTCTGGCGTGTCTCCCTCAGTGGCACGATTGTAGTGTTGTGCTCCGGCGGGAGTGTGGCTCTCTGGTACAGCCGGGGGGTCCCTCCAGGGGGAGTGGATGTCTGTGTGACAGGTTGTGTGCTGTGGGTGTCTGCACACACACGTGCTCTCAGACCGACATGGCAGAGGCAGGGCGGGGACACAGGGAAGTGATAGGTATAAATACATGGACGGGTACGGAGGCACACGTGTATGCAGGCCCAGCCTGGATGTCCCAGGGTGAGGTCAGCCCGGGCGGTGGAGGGGTGCAGGGTGGTGAACTTTGGGGAGAGATGGACAAGGGACAGGGAGAAGAGACAGCAGGAATCAGGGGCCGTTCAGAGTGCACTAGAGATCAGACCTCGCAGGGCAGGACCAGGCTGGGCGGCACAGAAGAACGCAGTGGAGGGCGTGCCCTTTCCTGCAAGCCCCTCCCAGACCCTCCGCCCCAGCGTCAAGGACAGGGGAATCTGGTCCCTGCCGCCCTCCGGCCCAGCTGTGCCAAGGCAGGAGATTGGGCTGCAAGTGCCAACCCAGGGCCCCTGGACACTGAGTTCTCTCCCTCTGGACAGTCTGGGGACCGGACACCAAGTGGGGTGTGGAGAGTGGGCATCAGCTCCCCAAAGATGCCTGAGGCTGCTCATCAGAGACCAGGGGTCAGGGAAGAGGGGGATACCTCCTGCTCCCCCAAATCCCAGACTCGGCGCCCTGACCTGGGGCCGCTCTTCTGCCTCCCGTCCCCAGGCTTTGCCTTCCCGGATTGGGCCTACAAGCCGGAGTCGTCCCCCGGCTCCAGGCAGATCCAGCTGTGGCACTTTATCCTGGAGCTGCTGCAGAAAGAGGAGTACCAGGGTGTCATCGCCTGGCAGGGGGACTACGGGGAGTTTGTCATCAAGGACCCCGACGAGGTGGCTCGGCTCTGGGGCATCCGGAAGTGCAAGCCCCACATGAATTATGACAAGCTGAGCCGGGCGCTGCGGTGAGGAGGGGCTGGGGACCTCACCCCTCTCCCCTCACTGTCCCTCTGGGGCCCTGTCCCCTGGGGGCTTTCCCTCAACTTCTTGGGGGCAGAATCCTTCGGGATCCCAGCGCACAGGGCTCTTCGCCTGTAGCTACCCTAAGTACCCACTTGTGAGTGAAGGACCAGAGCCCTGCGCTTTGGAGCCACACAGGCCCCAGCCCCTGTCTGGCCCTGTGACTTTGGCCTCAGTTTCCCCAAGCTGTTGTGCCCTGTGTTGGGCACCAAGCAAGTGTTGGGGGCTCTGCCTTCACTTCCTGGGGTCCCACCCCCCACATCAGTGTCCTCCCTCTGCTCACAGCTACTACTACAATAAACGGATTCTCCACAAGACCAAAGGGAAGAGGTTCACCTACAAGTTCAATTTCAGCAAAGTTGTGCTCGTCAATTACCCGTTGTTGGACATGGCGGCCGCCACCACGGGCTCCCCGCTTCTGCTGACCCCTGGTCCTTTTGGGGGAGCGCCTGGCCCAGATGCTCCTCCCCTCACCCCTGAAGTGAGTTCGGATCTTGGGGTCCCCAAGCCCTGAAGCCCCTGGGGCAGGAACAGCCTGTCTGAGCGGTACCTATTCCCTCACCTCCCTCTCTAGACCCTGCAGACCCTGTTCTCTGCTCCACGCCTGGGAGAGCCGGGGACCCGGGCACCCCTTTTCACTCCCGAGACAGACAAGCTGCGTCTAGACAGCCCTTTCCCATTCCTGGGCTCCGGTAAGGGCCTGGGGTCCAGGGGTGCCCCCAGGGTGGGGGCAGGGGGTGGGCAGGCATGCTGCACGTGTGTGAGGGAAGAAAGTGGGCAAAGATAGATGGAGGAGGAGCCAGGATGCTGTGGGCGAGGCTGTGTGTGTGCGTGTGCATGTGTGCATGCGCGTGTGTGTCTCTGAAAGTCAGAGGATGTGAGGTGAAGCAGAGGAGGGAAGCTATAGAAGGGGTCAAGCGGACAGCAGAGCTTTTGGGGGGCACTAAATGAATGGGAGGCAGGCAGGGGGGTGGAAATGAGGGGACCCACGTGAGGGTGGGGAGATGCCATGGGAGGACGATGGGAAAAATCAGGTGGAACACGGCAGGGAGGAATGAGCCAGCCTGCCTGATCCCCTCTGCCTGTCACCTCCCCAGGTGCCACCGGCTACTCCAAGCCCCCTGGCCTGCTGGGACACTTCAGCCGCGCCTTCCCTGAGCACCCCTGGAACTTCAGCCCGTACCTCACTGGCCCCTTCCCCAAGCTGCCCCCACCTCTCTACCCACCACACTTCTACCCCAACCCCCTGGCCAGTTCCCTGGGCCACCTGCCCTCGGCAGGGGCAGGGGGCGGCCCCACTGCCACGCCCCTGCTGGCCGCCACAGGGGAGGGCCTGGGCCCGGAGCGCCCCGCGGGCCTGGCCGTGGCCCAGCGCCTGGCGCTCCCGGGGGCCGGGGGTCCAGAGGCTGCGCTGGGTGGGAAGGAGGACAGCGACTCGGAGCTGGAGATTACCGACGTCAGTGGCTGCAGCTCTGACAGTGACGGTGACGAGGGCCTCCCCGTGCCCCCCAAGGCCAAGGCGGGCAAAGGGGGGGTCGGCAGCTGAACCGCTGCGGGGAGATGGATTCTGCCGGGGCGGAGACCAGGGCGGCCGCCCGCGGGGCCTCTTCCGTGGCCCGGTCTGTCCTTGATGTCCTGCCGGAGGCTGGGCCCGGGCACATGGCTGCCCCAGGCTTCTTCCCAGCCCCAGACTGGGGGGTCTCACCTCCCCTCTCCGGCGAGGGGAGGGGACACGATGACCTCCAGCCTCCTCCCCAGGCTCCAGTTTGAGCGGAGGGGGGTCCCCGCCTGACCCCCACCCCCTGAAGTGCAATATGGCGCCCAGCCTCCCCCCACCCACCTGGCCCTGTGCTGTGACCTGAGTGTTCGTGTGGCCCCAGTGCTGACGCCCGCCCCCCACCCCTCCCCAAAGGCCCCCTGGGGACAGGGAGCTCAGAGCAATAACCCCGCCTTCCCCCTGGCCCCCATCAGCCACCCCCAGAGATTTACTACAAAAATAAACAAACGGAAAGAAGTGTGAGATGCTGGATACCCAGCATCGGCATGGATGACCAAGGGGGCTTGGGGGTGAGGACCGCAAGAGGTGTGTGTGTTGAGGGGGGCGGGCAGCCCTGGGGAGTCAACGTTAAGACACGGGATTGGATGAACGCAGAGGCAACGCGGTGGGACAGACGGAGGAAGCAATGCCAGACAGTCTTGGGGGGGTTCCAGACGCCATTCTGGGGCCCTTCCCCGCCCTCACACACTCAGACCTCTCCTTAGATAATATATATTAAAAAATAAACCTCCAATTCAGGGTATAAAAACAGAGCAAAGGCACTTGGGGGTGGGGGTTGGAGGGTTTGGCCACCCCCCCCACCCAGGCAATACTGAGATGGCCCAGGAATGGGAGCCAGGTGGGGCCCCCCCGGAATGAAGCCCTGAGTCCCCCAAGTGGGAGGGAGAGAAGGCCAAAGCCCGTGGGAGGTGGCGGGGGGCAGTGATCCCATCTGGGCACCCCCCACCCCCCAAGGCATGGCCCGGGGCAGCCCGGCTCCCTCTCCTCAGGCCCCTGGGGTTGGAGATGCTGGGTGGTCGGTGGTCTGGGTGGTCGGTGGTCTGGGTGGTCGGTGGTCGAGCGGTGGCGGGTGGCCCTCTCCTTCTTGCGAAAGGCCTGGGGGCAGGGGAGAGGCAGGAGCAGAAGGGAGATGGGGAGAGACGGACAGGGTGGGAGGGCGGGTGGGGAAGAAGCACAGAAGAGCCAGAGAAACAGAGATGGAGACAGGAGGCGGAGTGGGGAGATGCAGAAAGTCAAAGATGGACGGAGAGAAACGGACAGGGCTAGGCAGCTGTTAGCATCCAGTGGGGTCACTCGGGCGCCTCCTCTCTGGCCTGTGCCCGGCTCCCCCGGCCCCCCACTAACCTGCCTGGGGCAGGGGGCCTCAGGTACAGCCAGACTGGGGGACGCTGTTCTCCCCAAGCTGAGACAGGAGGAGTCTCAGGCGGCAAAACTCCTCCTCCACCTCCTGGTTTTGGGGGATCATCAGTGAGAAGGGTTTCTACTTAGTCAGCCCCTTCCTCCCCACTCCCACCCCCAGGCCACACCACCTCCAGCTGCTTAATGGTCTCCTCCAGGCTGAGCAGCTCCTCCCGAATTTCCTGATGCTGCGTTGGGCTTGAGGGACCGCCCCCTGGGACCCCATCCCCCTCGAGGGGAGGTCCTGCCCCGCTGTCTTCCTCCGAAGGCAACAGGAGCTGTTTCAGGGTCAGCACTGGACAGGGGTGAGGGGACAGAGTCAGAGGTGGGGGGAAGAGGGCTGGGAGATGTAGCCGGGGATGGGTGTGGGCCTACGGTGGGAATGAGCTTCTGGCTAGCCAGACCTGTGGGAGGGGCTGGGGAATGTGAGGAGGCCTGCAGGGGTGTGAAACGGGCTGAGGGGCAGGGCACCAAGCACAGAGATGGGCCCCGGAGAGAGGCTGAACTGAAGGTCAGGAAGGGACAGGGGCTGCAGGAGGCAGAGGGACTTGGGGCCACCAAGGAGGCTGGTGCAGCCTGGGGCTGTGCACAGGGTGGACTGGGTGGGTTTGCTTCCAGCGGCTGAGCACAGGCGGGTGGGAAAGCAGCGTGGGGGCTGAGCCCTGCGCAGGTGGGGCTGAGCTACCTTTCTGAAGGGCCTTGGCAGCGAGCTGGCCCTCAAGGCCTTGTCTGCAGAAGGGCAGGAGGGAGTTGAAGAGTCTCTCCATCCGGCCTGGGTTGGGGAGAAGGGGCTCAGTCCCTGCCAGGCTTCCTGTGGAGCCCCCCACCCCCACTCATCGCCCCTCTATCTAGGCTCACCATCCACTGGGGGCATCTCTCGGCTGCCATTGCCGTTTTCGGAGCTGCTAAGCAGGGGTTCACGGGTGCTGGGGGGAGCAAGTGCTGGGTGACCCCACCGCCCTGGCCCTGGTGGGCAGCAGGGGCAGGGAGACAGGGAGCTGGAGGTGGGGAAGGCAGGGAGGTCCGGAGATAGAGACAGAGGTCGAGTTTGGGAGACAGGGAGACAGAGAGGCTTGGCCAGTGGAAGACAGAGAGGCCTGGATCGGAGACAGATGGGCCGTGGTGGGGTGGGTGCACACCGGCACACACCTTCACATGCATGCACACAGACACACATGTGCACATGCACACACATGGAGACTGGGCTGGAGCTCGGGTTCTGGGGACACATAGGGAGGCTGCCCCTTGACCTCTGGTTCCCTCCCCTGGCCCCCTCACCTGCTGGGGCCGGGCCGGTGTTTTGGTCGGGAGGTGGGGGCGGGGACCTTCAGGCATCCAGCAGTCTCGGTGATGATGGTACACCAGCTGAGGAGACAGGCCAGTCCCCTGGGCCGTCAGAGCCCCCAGACCCTGGGCCAGGACATCCCACCCCCACCTTGTCCCCAGAGACCCTGGGGCCCGGGCCTCCTTCTCCTCCTCCACCCGCTCCAGGAATCCAGACCCACTCACATCCTCCTCTCGGACACTGTCTGCGCCACCAGCTCGTATATCTGGGCCTCATGGTCCCAGGTAAAAATGACATAGAAGGCTTTGTGATCTGCAGGGGGAGGGAAAAGTGAGGCTCAAAGCCAGGGTCACCCCAACATGCACCTGGGGAAATCCTCTATGACTTTACGGCTCCCAGGACTCAACTCACCTACTCTGCCCCCGTCCGGAGCCCTCCCTCATCTAATCAGGAAATGACAGCTCTGTCAGCTCTACCTCCAAGACCTCCAGCACCCCTCCCACCACCACGGCCCCACCAGGTTTCAATCCCTGCTCCCTACAGCCCCCAAGATGGGGCCAGGGCATCTTTTCAAAATACTACTTAGAACTGGCAGCTCTTCTGTGCAAAAACCTGGGGGCAGTTTCCCATTTAACTTAATAAAATTCACAAGCCAGCCTGGCACCCTGGCAGTGTCCAGTCCAGGATCTGCCCGCCCCCGCCCCCAGCCTCAGCCTCAGGGCGGCCAGCTAGCCCCCCTGGTCACAGAGCATGCGCGCCCAGCTCTTCGGAGGGTTCCTCCGCCATCCTGGGGACGGCAGTGCCCTGGGGCTCACCGGTGGCCACCTCGCGGGTCATGGCGGAGGTGAGCCGCAGCACCGGCCGCAGCATGGTCTTGCCGTCGGGCGTGGGCGTCAGCGTCCGGCTGTGCGACTTAAGCAAGAACCGGTCGTCCTGGCGCTGAAGCAGTAGCAGCAGGTCATCCAGCAGCAGCACGTGCACCTCTGCGGGTTGGGGGGCAGGGCTCAGCACCCCCACCTGACACCCTGGCCCCAAGGGACCCCTCTACCCCCACCCTGCTCGCTGTCCTGGCGCTCACCCACAGCCTTGTCCTTCGTCACCCTCCACGTCAGTGGGCCCTCGTGGATCAACCTCTTCCTGGTGATGTCTAAGTTCTGGAGGCAGGCAGGAAGGGGTGATGGCCGGTGAAGCCGATGGTGGGGCGGGGGAAGGTGGGGATGATGTCAGGTCAGTTCATTCCCCACTGGGAAATGAGGGGGGTGGGGTCAGAGCTGAGGGGCCCCTCTTGCTTCCTGGGTGTGCTATCAGAGAATGCCCAGGGTAGGGTGAGAGGAGGGGAGGGGAGCGGGGAGGGCACCTTGAATTCGCTCAGCATGGGGTCATTGCTCTGCCGCAGGTGGGTCAAATCCAGGCGCCTCTGATAATCCTTGAGCCGCTAGGGGCAGGGAGGGAGGGTCACTGGCTTCCACAGACCCCTGCACATGCTCGCCCCACCGCCCCTGCTCAGGGCCCCACCCGGCTCACCAGCAGGTCCTCCATGTCCCGAACGGCATAGTTGACGTGTTGCAGAATTTCCCGGCAACACTCGGCTGCCCGCTCCACTTTCTCCCGTTCTGCTGACTCTTCTGTGGGGAAAGTGGAAGACCGGCCCTTGGGTGAACCCCAACCCTGGAAGCTCGGGGTCCTGGGGCCAAGGCTGAAGGCCGGAGAGCCAGGGTCCGGAAGGACGGGGCGGGGCTGCTCTTTCTACCTGTATTCTGCGCGATGCTCTGCAGAAGCAGCGGGTACTTGGTCAGACGCTGCATCTCCGTGGGGATCATGTCCTTGAGCTGCAGCCGGCGGCACCGGGGCCGGCTCTCGGCTTCCTGGAGGAATGGCAGCGCTGAGACACCAGGACGCCGGCCACCCTCCCCAGGGTCAGTGGAGGGGGCGGGGCAAGTGGGCGGTATCTGGGCGGGGCTCTCACCCGGGCCAGCAGCACATCTCCGATCTCCTCGACGAGGTAGCCACTGTCCTGCCTCCGCTTCATCAGGCAATCAAGGAATAGGGCTGTAGGGAGCAGAGAGGAAAGGTGGTGTTCTGTCAGAGTCCCCAAGATTGGATGCAGAGCTGGTCGGATGCTGGGGGGTGGGGGCTCGGGCCGCAGGTGGGTGTGTTGGATCCTTGGGGCCAGTGACCGCCTCCCACCCCCCCACTCCCCGCCCCATGCCTGTTGATGATGTGTCCCTAGGAGGTGAGCTCTGGGGATCTGGGGATCTGGAGTGTGGCCCTCCCCAGTGCTAGACCAGAGGCTGCCCGGGATCAACGGCAAGGCAACGGAACAGAGAGCTGGCAGGTGGAACGATGACAGGGCCACAGTCCCGCACTCACAATGCACCTCGATGAGCTCGTCCAGGCTGGGGAAGATGGTCTGGAGCTCCTGCTGGGAGAAGTAGCCCCCCTCTGCCATGGGCTGATAGAAGAGGTCGTGGAGCACGCGGAGCATGCGCACATGGGCCGCCTCCGTCACCAGGAGCTCTGTGGGGACAGCAGACAGGAGTCAGTTGGAGTTAGGGAGCATGCAGACTCTGGGGGTGTGGGAAGGCCCTCTCAGAGGCAGGGTGGGGAGGGGATGGCACAAGGATGACTCTGGGTGGAGCCACTCGCCCCTGAAATAGCCACTGAGAATTCCTCCACCCCACTGCCTTTCCCATATGGCAGTTGCAGCCAGCCAAGGGGACCAGCAGTCCCAGTTTGCCTCATACCATGGGTTTCCCGGGACATGAGATTTTCAGTGCTAAAACTAGGCCGTGTGGGCATGCACGCTCAGTCATGTCTGACTCTCTGTGATCCCATGGACTGTAGCCCACCAGGTTCCTCCACCCATGGGATTTCCCAGGCAATACTGGAGCAGGTTGCCATTTCCTTCTCCAGGGAATTTTCCCAACCCAAGAATCGAACCCATATCTCCGGCATCTCCTGCATTGGCAGGCAGATTATTTACCAACTGCACCACCTGGGAAGTCCCAAAACCAGGACAGTCCCAGGAAAATTGGGGACAAGTTGGTCGCCTCACTGCCTGCAGCTGCATTTCAAGTCTAACCATCCAGCAAGTTTCTCAGGCTGTTTCTGGCACAATGACTCTCTGACAGGTTGATGGCCTGGGATCCAGGGGGCTCCAGGGGGTGCATGCCTGAGTTCCAGTGATCCCTCAAATCCCAAGAGACTAAATGCACGATTTTGTATGTTAAGTATGCATATATTTTTGGTGAGAGAAACTGCCATGCTGTCCAATGTGGTAGCCACTAACTATGCCAATAACTCTTAAATTTTGCTTAATTAAAATGAAATATAATGTAAAATTCAGCTCTCAGTTGTGCTCACCACGCTTTAAATGCTCAACAGCTGTTATGTGGCTGGTGGTTACCATGTTGGAAAGTACAGACAGATATTTATTGCATGTTACCATCATTCCAGAAAATTCTATCAGATGGCACTGGGAATGTTTTGATCATTATCCTCAGAAGGATCTGTGACCCAAAGGGCATCTAACCACTGCCCTAAAACTTCTGAATGAGAATCCTTCTCAACCACTAAATAATCTGTAAATTAACTTCCAAATGAGTTTCCCAAAACACTCTACATCTGGCAAACCTCTCTCAACACAGACACAATTTGAAATCACAGGGAAGAATTAAGACAAAAATGGTATCTCTCAGCTCAGAAGCAAGCATTGCTAAAAATATATTATCTTCCCAAACTTTTCTGGGTGGGAATCTTTTTCTCCCCTGAGTGCTTAAGATCATAGTTGTAATAGCAGTTACAGCTGAATGCTCTGTCCCTGGACCCATCACTGTGATGAATGCATGAATCATCTCATCTTTATCTCTGTGGGGCTTTTAAGGGAGGAGTTATCACTGCCCACATTTCACAAACAAGGAGACAAAGGCTTCTGCTAGAAATGCAACTTTTATAGACTGTTTCTGGCTGTTCACGTCAACACTGTCCTGCACTACAAAAAATTCTTTAGAGGGGATTTCCCGGGCAGCCCAGTGGTTACAATTCTGTGTTTCCATTGCAGGGAGAGAGCGTGGGTTCAATCCCTGGTCAGGAAACTAAGATCCCACATGCCACGCAGTGTGGCCAAAACAGAATAAATTCCTTGGAAATGTTACTCCCAACAGCTGCCTTCCCATTCCTTCCCTGGGATGTTCTACAGTTTAGCTAACAAATGGCCCTCAGAGAGAACTGGGTGGCCTTCAAGCTCTGGTGTAAGCAACACCAAGACAGCCATCCCCCTGCGTCTGTCTTTGCCAGAGGTGGGCTGTGTCCTTGGCCGCAGTGGGCTGGAGGAGGTGGCACTCACCGCTGATGACCTCCTGCCGCTTCACCTGGCTCCTAGGCAGGCTGTGCAGAATGTCCTGGGGGACAAGCTCTCGCCAGCCAGGCGGCTCCTCCGGTTCCAGCTCTAGTCCCGAACGGCCCGGCTCCCCCTCGTCTCCAGGCTCCGGGCTGTGGGACAGAGGCCTCGTCAGCTGCCTGGCTCAGGGCATCCCAGGAAAGAGCCTTTGACTCCTTCCACGCCCATCCCCTAGGGCGGCCGAGCTGCGGACCGGCCCCCAGATCTCTGGAAAGCAGCGGCTCACCCCTCTCCTGTGACCACTGGAGCCCACAGTGACCTCAGCATCCGATATCCCCCACCCTGGCCTCCCTGACTCTCCAGGCTGCCTCGGTGGATGCGGGGGGCGGGGGTGGGGGGAGTGACGTACGTGGCTCGTCGGGCAGGGCCAAGCACGGCCGTGGCGGAGCTGGGGTCCATGTCCACGTCGCTCCGGGAGCGGCCCCCACCCCGGCCCTTAGCCCCGAGGCTGCCCCGGGAAGGCCGGCGGCGGTCACTCACCCGCAGGCTCTCTGAGCGCCCCAGACGCCCTGACAGCCTGGACCCCGAGGCCAAGGACAGAGTCAGGCCCGGACAGAGACAGGGAGAGACCAGGACAGGGAGAGACGGGGAGAGACCGGGACAGGGAGAGACAGGGAGAGACGGGGAGAGACCGGGACAGGGACAGACGGGGAGAGACGGGGAGAGACCAGAACAGGCAGAGATAGACGGGGAGAGACCAGGACAGGGAGAGACGGGGAGAGACCAGGACAGGGAGAGACAGGGAGAGACGGGGAGAGACCGGGACAGGGACAGACGGGGAGAGACGGGGAGAGACCAGAACAGGCAGAGATAGACGGGGAGAGACCAGGACAGGGAGAGACGGGGAGAGACCAGGACAGGGAGAGACAGGGAGGGAGATGGGAGGGACCGGGACAGGGATCAAACATGCAACAGAAGAGAGGAGAGAGTCAGAAGGACCAGTGTAACTTTGGGGGGGCAGGGGCAGTGGGGGGTGGTCAGAAGGGATACTGAAACTGGTGGGGGAGGGACAGGGACGGGGAACCCAGTAGGGAGCAAAGGACTGCCCCCTCCCTTCCCTGAGGCAGGGGGATGGGGGCAGAGCCAGGAGGCAAGGCGGGGAGGGGGGTTTCAATACTTAGCTCTTCGGCTGGGAGGGTGGTGTCCCCACCCACCCCTCACAGGGGTGAAGGGGAAAGGGTGGCCCCTGGGGGGAGGGGAGGGGCTAGGAGAAATGGGGGAGGGGCTAGCCCTCCCCCCACCCAGGGCCCAGGCACCCACCTCTTCCACTTTCTGGGGAGAGAGGGGGACAGGGTCAGAGGTGGACCCAGAGGGAACCCGACTCACCTCCCCCACCCACCACAGGGTCCCCAAAGCAGCAGCACGAGGACTGGCAGGGGGCAGAGCCTGCCCCCCAACTGTGAGGAGGACAGGGCCCCCGGGCATGGAGCACAGAGGGCTGGGGCGAGGGAGGGAGGGGGCGCTGGGAGGCAGGAGCAAGGAGGCTGGGCTGGAGGCTTAAGAATGGGTGGGGGGGGTGAGGGGACGGATGGAGGAGAGGGGTGGTAGTAGGGGCAGAGGGAGAGGGGCCGGGGAGAGCCGAGAGGGAGTAAAGTGGAAAAAGAGGAAGGGGGAGGAAAGGAGAGAAAAGGGAGCAGGGGAGAGGAGAAAAAATCAGTGAAAGAGGGAGAGGAAGAAGGGGAGGAGAAAGGGGGGAAGAAGGAATGAAGGGAGAGGTGAGGAAAGACAGAGCAGAGGAAGAAGGGAGAGGAGGCGAAGAGGGAGGAGCAGGGCAGAGTGGAGACGGCTCGGCTGGGGACAGGCAGGTGCAAGTGGCAGCACGACTCCCAACACGTACCCTCCCCCGCCCAGCCTGCGCCCAGCCCCGGGCACCTCTCTGTGTCGGCACCCTCCTCCGCGGTCTCTGGGGGCGCTGGGGTGTCCAGGCTGGCTGGGCCCTGCGGGGGCGGGTCCCCCACCTCCAGGAGGGCATCAACACCTGTGGGGACCATGTGAGGAGGGAAGCAAGGTTGGCTGGAAGGCCCCTGCGGTGGTGAGACTCACACCCCCCTACACCCTGGGGGCCTCCATTCCTTGAACCATCCACTGCCTGGCCAACACCATGTGGCTGCTCTGTATTTTAGTGGGGGACAGACAGATGGAAGCTGGTAAAGAATCTGCCTGCAATGCGGGAGACCTGGAATCGATCCCTGGGCTGGGAAGATCCCCTGGAGAAGGGAAAGGCTATCCACTCCATTATTTCTGGCCTGGAGAATTCCCTGGACCGTACAGTCCATGGGGTTGCAAAGAGTCGGACACGACTGAATGATTAAGCACATGCACAGACAGATGGAAAGAGCTCTGAAAACAGGGCCATGGGCAGCTAGGGCCCAGTGGGTGAAGATATCGCAAAACTGGGGTGCCAGTCTCCCACTTGAAGAGGAGACTGGATGCCTCCACATTCATTCATTCTCCCAACACTTCATTGGGACTAGTGGGAAGAGAATGTATCCCATTTAGAGGGGAGGAGGCTGAGATTCAGAGAGAGGAGGGGCTTCTAAGATCTGACACAAGTAAAATGCAGAACCAGGATTTGAACCCAGGCCCTGGCCAAGTGGCTTTCTGGGGGGCATCACACAAGGAGTGGGAGACCTTTCCATGGAGCAGCCAGGTTCACCATCTAAGGGGGTTGATCGGCCATGGACTTAGAGGGTTCTGGGAAATGAAACCATGGGGGCTGATGGGAAATGTAGTCCAAGGAGGTGGGGAAATCCATCACCAGGACAGAGGTCAGAGCTTAGGAGGAAAACCATGGAAAGGGTAAACCAGGGGAAGGAAGCGGTTATCAGTAACACTGGTGGCAAGAAGCAGTGAGGGCGGAGGACCAAGGGGCTGTTCTGCTGGGGGGTATAGGAAACTCACCTGGCTCCCGGTCAGGGCTGTCCCCAGACAGAGGGTGCAGAGAAACTCCAGGGCTGTCCTGCCCAGGGCCTCCGAGATTCCGGTCCCGGGAAGGCGCCCCCTGACCTCCCTTACGTTCTGTAAGGCCCGGCTTCTCAGCTGGGGACGTATTGAGGGAGAAAACAGAGTATGAGAATCAAGTGACTCAAATCCACAAGGGCCGGTGCGATCTAAGAGGCTAAGGTCCTCCCCATCGCCTAGGAGACCCCTCCTCCACCCTTGGACCCAGGAGTCCTAGGCCCTCGCCCCTCCTCCCTCAAACCTTGTGGGTCCCCCCACCTCCCCTCTTAGGTCCCCAGGATGGATGATGCTCTAGATTCAGGACCATTACCATCAACCTCGACCTTCAGGTGTCGAAAATCTGGGGCTGAAACGAGAGATGGGACCGTGAGGTGGGGGCAACACGGGGAAGTCGGGGCAAGGCCAAGGCTGGGCACCTCACCCTGGGGCTCTCCCCGGTTCCAGCGGGCGGCATCTAGGAAGCTGCTTAGGCCTTTCTTGGTCTTTGTCGGTTCATCTGACCGCCGGTTCCCTATCATCTGGGGAAGGGGGTGAGAAGGGGCTTGGCATTTCTGGACCGATGTCAACAGAGGGCTCAAATCTCAGGGGCGTAGAGGTTTCCTGGTGTGGAGGGGGGAAGGCCTTCTCTGGGGAGGAAAGGGCCAGGTTTGGGCACTCAGGGAAGCACCTTTTTCCGAAAGAAATTCCTCCCGGACTTCTTGTCCCCACTCTTGGTCCGCACCCCAAGGTGCCGCATGTACAGGCTGATGGCATTGACCACGGCAGCACTGTGAGGAGGGGACAGTGAGGGCGCACGGACAGACATGCAGGCTCCCAAGGACGCAGGGACCCTGCCGCCCCCACAGCTTCCCTCCGCTCGCCTCCCACCCCAGCCCCACAACCACCTCCTGCTGAGCATCTGAGCAAAGGGAGAGAGAGGAGGTTTTGGGCAACGGAGCCAGGCATGCAGCTCAACACTCAGGCCCCCAGGTAGACCACCCCGCCTCAGGCCTCCCTGCGGGCCTCTGTTTCCATCACCTCTTCTCCTCATCATTAGAGATGGTGTGCCTATAAGAAGAAGAAAAAGTCTGTGAGCAATGTGCTAGGCCTGGGGTCCCTGACTACCCAGCACAACAGGTCACTGTCCCCTTCAAAGCTGGGACGGAGTTGGGGAGGGGGGCACTCTGCCAAAGCATCTGGGACAGACAGTTGCTGGAGGAGAGACCCTCACTCGGGCGGTGGGGGTTGCAAGGGCAGGCCCCAAAGCCTAGGCCTGAGTACAAGACCACGGATGAGACCTGGGAACTGGGAGGGGCCCCCAAGCTGGGAAGGGAAGATGCAAAACCAGATGGGTGAACATGCGAAGGCTTCCCAGGTGGCACCAGTGGTAAAGAACCTGCCTGGCAATGCAGATAGACAAGAGACACAGGTTTGATCCTTGGGTCAGGAAGGGCCCCTGGAGGAGGGCATGGCAACCCATTCCAGTATTTTTGCCTGGAGATCCCCATGGACAAGAGAAGCCTGATGGGCTACAGTCCATGGGGTTGCAAAGAACTGGACATGACTGAAGCGTGTACACAAGGGCCCCAGAAGTTAGGAGAGGAAACCAAATGCATGGAAATGACCCTGAAGCTGAAGAGGAAGCCTGGAAGCGGATGGGACGAGGATGGGATAGCAGAGGGTGCCCCCTGGGCTAAGGAGAGACCTGCCCCACTTACTGCATCTCCTCCAGGTGGGTCAGTTGCCGCTCAGCCAGGTGCCGCTCCCGGGCCTCATAGCTGGCACGGTCCCGCGCCACCCAGGCCCCCAGCTGGGCCAGCTCCTGCTCCCAGGGTGTCATGCCCATGAGCTTCTTGGAGCGAAAGTCCTCCAGCTGCCGGACCACGGCTACCTGCTGGCTCTGCACAACCTCCTGCACGAACTGTCGCTGGAGGTCCTCAGGGAAGAGGTCAGGCCGCGTGCGGTCTGCGGGGACAATGGGGCCCGGGCTGGGGGCCAGTTCCCTGGGCCGTGAGTCCGCCCCTAGCCCTGCCCACCCTTGGACTCTGACAGCCCTGCTTTCTGGGGCTGGGGTGGCCGTTAGAAAGGAAGGCATCTCCGCTGTCCAAGGACTGTGGTGAGAGCATGGCCTCCCACCCCGGGGGCGCTCCTGGTCCCTGCTCACGACCTCTCCCTCACCCCAAAGTCCCCTTTCATTTCCTTACCAAGTTCAAAGGCCACGGAGGGAGGGACCATCACTCGTAGAATCTGCTCAGGAGAGAGAATGGAGTGAAGGGAGGACGCAGTGGTGAAGGGGCAGCTGTGATGGGATGAAGGGATGGTAGCCCAGGCAGCAGGTGGGAACCATGCTCTGATGGGAGGAGCAGTGGATGGAGAGCCAGGCTGGCACGAGGTCTCCCACCGGGCGGGCCAGGCCTCCCTTCATGCTGTCCTCAGCAGGGTGGAGCTTGGGAGGAGCAGGGTGGCTGCCCAGGGGGTTGGGGATGGGGGGCGGGGGCCCTAGAAGGGGTCTCTCACCGAGTGCTTATCCAGGAAGCTGTGGTAGAAGTCGATGAAGGCCTTCTTGAACTCCTTGGGGCCCAGGGAGCCGAGCATGTCCGCATGCAGGCAGCAGAGCTGCGGGACACAGAGCGTGACCCATCCTCTTCCCCCCCCCAAACCGCACTGCCCCTTGGAAAGCGTCGGGGTGCAAACCCTCTGGGAAGTGCTCCCCGATGTCCCGCATCCCCACACCTGACTCCCGCACGGCTGCCCAGGGCCACTGCACCATCCCCTTAAGTTTCTCTCCTGTGAAATGGTTCTTTGGTCTGTCTTCTCGCTGCTGCTGTGTTACAACCATCACCGCCCCCAGCTATACTAAGAGGGCTCAGTGCATCCCCGACACTGTCCAAACCCTCTACCTGCATTAATCTGTTCAACCATGGGGAGGACCATCATTATCCCGTTGTTGCAGATGAGAAAACAGCTAGTAAGTGACAAAACTGGGATTGGATTTCTGGCAGTCTGTCTCTGCGACTCTCCATTGACAAGCAATACTGTGTTACTCAAGGGTGTGTGTATGTGTGTGTGTGTGTGGCAGCCAGGAGGTTCTGATTCATCGGTGTCTCAGGGCCTAGCACACAGCGGGGCTGATCACATAAACAGAAGGACTAGTGATGCTCGCTCACTCATTCATTCGTCAAGCACTCCCTGAGGTTGCCTGTGGAGGGCGCCCTCTGCTGGGTGACAGTGGCAATGCTGTGGGGCCTCCAACCTGTCCTGGCTCCTGGCACACTCTCATTGGGTAAGGGACCTGGTCTCAGTCGCTAAGGACTCGCCCCAGTAATCTATGCCTGCCCCCTTCCCACTCCCCACCCCCCGCAAAAAAAAATCAAAACTCCATCTGAGGCTAACAGGAAGCAGCCCAGGCGACCACAACCATCTCCCGGCTGCTCCACCAGTCAGTGAGGTGAGGGAACGGCACGAGGACAAATCTCAAAACACCAAAGGCCATCCGGGTCGCGTTAGTCACACCCCTGGCCCTGGCGAGGCCTCAGTTTCCACATCTGGAAAGGGACACAGCAACCAGCACAACCCCTGGGCTAAGCTCCAGGAGCTCAAGTTCCAGAAACACTCAGGCTCAGCAGGGGGACTCCTTTGCCCAGAGGGCCAGTGCCTCAGGCATTAGGGGAGGCTGCAGCGGGGACAGCACTTTTCTGGCAATTTCCTGATTTCCTGTTTCTGAAACTTTGGAGTCAGTCAATACAGCCTTCTCTCTGCCACCCCCAGGCATCCTTTTCTGCCACTTCCATCAGTCTCCTTGTTTTCTGGAGGGGGCTTCCCTGGTGGTTCCAGATGGTGAAGAATCTGCCTGTTTTGTGAGAGACCTGTGTTTGACCCCTGGGTTGGGAAGAATCCCCTGGAGAAGGGAATGGCTACTCACACCAGTATTCTTCCCTGGAGAATTCCATGGACAGAGGAGTCTGGTGGGCTATGGTCTATGGTCAAGCATTCTTGACCCACGTCCAGTACAGAGCAGTTCCCTGGTCTAAGCCCAACTCCCAGCCTATGCTGGGCTGCGTGGGGTCCTCACGGGACAGGACCCCAGTCCACAGAGCCTTCTCCAGCCAGCACTGGGGCTTCTTCCTCCCTGAGCCACCTGCCGGGTTCTCTAGACTCTGCAGGCGTCTCCCAGACAGTATGGCTCTGCATCCACACCTCCCCGGTATTTTCTGCCTGATATGTTTTCTGTAGCATCCATTACGTCCTCTGTGCCTTGTGGGCTGTTTGGAGCGGTCTCCTTGTTTCTGGACCAGGGCCTGCTGTGCTGCCTAGGCCCAAGAAGGCTACTGGCTTTCTCTCAACCACCAGCCCTGAAGCACTGACTGGAGGCACCTGCGGAGAATTAAGATTCTGGGGCTAAGGGCGCTGTCACTGACGAGTGATGCTGCCATGGGCACGGTTTTCCTCCAGGCTGCTGGATTCTCTGTTGCTCTGCGAGACTGAGCCCCGCTTTGCTCAGAAATTTACACTGGCAGCTGCAACCTTGTCTGGACCCCATGGCGGGCTTCCTGGCTCTCAAGCTGTGTGCTCTGGGTCTCTTTCCCAGACCCTCCTGACTCATCCTCACGGGCCTAAAGCACTGAAGACTGCGGCCGGTCCCAGCCCCGCCCCGTGCCTCTCCGGCCCCGCCCCCGTGCCTCCCCAGCCCCGCCCTCACCAGGGGTCCTGGCTCAAACTGCATGGCCACGTGCTGCAGGAGGGCCATGAGATGGGCCGGGCGCCGCTTCACCTGATCCAGGTTCTGGAACTGGTTGTTTTGTTCCTCGGGGTTCTGGGGGGTGGGGAAGGGAGTGAGACAGAGGGGAGCAGAGGAGGGGCTTGGGGCTTGATCACCGCCCCTCTTCCCGGACACTTCCCCCAAAGGACCCAAGCTGGGGGGTGGGGGTGCTGATGGTGCCACTGCTGGGATGGTGGCCAGTCAGGGGGTGGGGAGGATGGATGAGACTTCATGTTCTAACGGTGGGTGGTGAGGAGAGAAATCAGGAGAGATGGAACGAGGATCTGCGCTGTCATTACGGGGAGTGGGCAGCGATAAAAACTGCGATCAGAGTAAACCGGCTGACAGCTTGTGCTGTAATATCGAAACGGGCACTCAGGATGGGGTGAGGGGATGAGGAAGGAGGTACTAGGAAGATGAAAGAGACATGGGGGCTTCCCTGGTGGTCCTGTGGTTAAAAATCTGTCTTGCAATGCAAGGGATGCCAAGTTCGATCCCGGGTCTGGGAGGACCCCACATGTTGCAGAGCAATTAAGCCCGGGCGCCTCAACTACTGAGCCCACGTGCAGCAACTACGGAAGCCCGCATGCGCCTAGAGCCTGTGCTCCGCAACAGGAGAGAGGCCACTGCAATTGAGAAGCCCACGCACGGCAACACAGGGAAGCACCACCCCCTCACTTGCCACAACTAGAGAAAGCCCGAGCTCAGCAGTGAAGACCCAGCACAACCAAAAAATAAACTAAAGACATCCTTAAAAAAGAGAGAGAGATGGGCAGAGACAGGAGGCCGAATGACAGCATCAGAGGATGGAGAACAGGGTGTAAGCGGGAGGGGACGCTGAGGATAGGGCTTGAGGGCTGGGGCCCCGGGGAGCCTGAGACAGAGGCTTTTCCAGCCCGCCTCCCTCTCACCGTCTTCAACTCAATCTCAAAATCCTCGTCCTCTGCCCCGATGATGCTGACGGGCACCAGGCCGGGTCGGGGGGGCCCTGGGGGCTGTGGAAGGGGAGGGATGGCTTCAGCCCCCATTGCTCCCCGCCACACAGCACCGCCCCCCCCACCTTCCCAGTCCCCTCACCCCTCGGCCCTCTGCACTCACCGCCCCTCGGGCGCCGTCTTCTGCCTCCATGGGCTCTGCCGGGCTGGTGGAAGAGGAGGGGCCGCGGTTAGAGGGGTGGGAGGCAGGGAGAGCAGGGCGGTTACTCACAGATTCCTGGCCCAGGTGCGAAGGTGAGTAAACAGCCTCCTCTCCCCCCCATCCCGGCCTCCACAGCTCAATGGGGCCTCTGTGTGGCGACAAAGAGCCCTTCAGAGGCCAGCCAGGGCGGGGAGCCCGAGGACAGGGAGCCGCGTGTGGGGGGGAGCTGGAGGACGGGAGCCTGGGTCCATGAGAGAGCTGTGGCCCAGGAGCCTGTGATTTGGGGTCCCCTGATGGAGGAAGGGCCTGGGGGCTCTTGGATCTAAGTAAGGGAGGAGGGGTTGGGGAGTTGGGTCCAAGGGGGGCAGGGCTTGCAGGCCAACAGAGTTGGAAAAGTTAGAGGGGAGCTGGGAGGGAGATAACTGGGGTGTGGGGGCTTGCCTCTGACCTGCGACAGACTTGGGGCAGGATGTTGCCTCTGAACCCACCAGCCCCACTTCCTGTGACAGGAAATCACAATGGCAAATCCCCCAACCCCCAGCTGTCTCCACAGAAGAAAACAAAACTGCAAACCCTCCGCCTTCAGGGACCAAGGGGCCTCGAAGCCACTTCTCTTCCTGGGGCCCTGGCATCTTTCCGGCTCCCATCCCAGAAAGTAAGGGACGGTCGTCAGATAGCTCATCCCCCCAGGTGCCTCTGTCTCCCTCACCCCACATCCACCTGTCCCGTCTGTCTGTCTGTCTGCCAGCTTGCCTCTCCCCAGCCAGAGCTCCCTGGCTGTCTCTCGCTGGAGTCTGCCTCCTGTCTTTTGCCTCTTTCCTCCCTGATTCTTCATTTTCTCTCTCCCTTCCTTCAGACCCGGCTCATTCTTTCCCACCAACTCTGCCTCCCGTCTTTTGCCTCTTTCCTCCCTGATTCTTCATTTTCTCTCTCCCTTCCTTCAGACCCGGCTCATTTTTTCCCACCATCTCTGCCTCCCCTCCCCCCACATCCGCCGAGGCCCCGCCGTCTTCTCTTGCTCCCTGTCTTCCCTCCTCGCTCTTCTCAGCCTCTGTCTCCCCACGCCTGGTTCCTGCAGCCACTGTCCCCACACCTGTCCGTGTCGCTCGCTGTCTCCCCCCTCTCTCTCTCCCATCTCTCACTGTCTCTCCCATCTTGTCTCTCTTAGAATCTCCCCGTCTCCCTGTGTCTTCCCACCGACATCTTCGGTGTTCTTAATTAGTCTGACTAATGCCACTTGAGCCCGTGTGTCAGGCAGGAAGGAGCTGTGGAAACGGGTGGGGTGCACCACCGGGGTGAGGGGTGGTTCTCCCCACAGCCCAAAGCTATTTATAACCCTAGTCGCCGAGTCTGATCCTTCTCCTCTTCCACTGGCCTCCTCCCTAGCACTCAATAAACGGCAGCCGGCCTTTTGACTCTGATCATTAAACAATGATGCCTTCTGGAGTGTCCAAGTGCCATCCTATGGGCTCACCCAAGCAGGCCTCATTTTGATTCTTTTCTATAAAGTGTGTTTGTCCAACATCCAAGCTTGGGTGACTTCAGATCTGAGCATTGTTAAACGTTCACATAAATAAAGTTGCAAACCAAGGCAGAAGAATAGTAGTAATTATTTATTATGAGAGCTGAACTTACACTGCACTTACAGTGTGCTAGGCGCTGCTCTAAGTGCTTCTCACAGAGTAACTCACTGAAGCCTCATGACCACAAGCAGCCCTGTGCTGTTATTACTCCCATCCGAGACAGAAAGCCTTCACCAGGCCACCAGCTGCAGCTTCTGGGCTGGAAGGCATGACCATGGACATGGAGGGTCCATACTCATTCCACTCAGGGGTGGGTGGAAAAAGTTCGACAGAGGCAGGGGTGATTCCAAAAGGGCCAAGGCAAGGACACAGGTTTATCTGAGCAAATGCTTAGGTGCCAGGCAGGCCTGGGAACATGCACTTGATATGTATTACTTCCTTCATTCCTCAACACCATGATAGGAAATAATAGCTAACGTGGAATATGCACTAAGTGCCATGAAGTACAGTACTAGTGCTTGACAAGTATAAACTCAATCCTCTCAGTGACCCTGGGCAGTTTTCTTATTACTGCTATTATTCCCATTTTACAGAGGAGGAAACTGAGGCACAGCTTATAAGAAGCACTGCCAGGATTCTGACCCAGGCAGACCGGCTCCAGAGTTTATGCATTTAACTCCCAGAATGTGCTGCTTTGAGAGCATAGGGAATCCACACCCCCACCTTAGGAAACTGAAATCTCAATCAAAGCTGAGACACAGGAGGTCTCCCTATGGTATCCGGGTATGTGGACACTGTGATCTGGGCAAGAGTTCAGACTGGACTCAGCTGCTCCACAGAGGCCTGGGCTCAGAGAGGATTGGGGAGGAGGGTGGCTCCTTAAAAGATGGGGCATGAAGGAGTCCTGCAAAGTTAGAGTGATAGGTGGAAGCGGTCAGATGGATCTAAAGGCAACTGACAAGGCCTGAGGTTCAGCAGAGAGGGTGCTGTGTGCATGGGGCTGTGGAGATGAGGGCAGGTTGACAAGGTCCTTATCGGTGTGGGTCTGAGAACAAAGTGGGCATGCGCAAGGACTACATGGGTGCCTGCGTATTATGCAGGCTCAGGGTCTACAACAGGCTTTCCTGGTGGCTTAGACCACAAAGAATCTGCCGGCAATAAGGAGGAGACCGGGTTCAATCCCTGGGTCAGGGAAATCCCCTGGAGAAGGGAATAGCTACCCACTCCAGTATTCTTGCCTGGAGAATTCCATGGACAGAGAAGCCTGGCGGGCTGTACAGTCCATGGGGTAGAAAAGAGCCAGACACGACTGAGTGACTCACAGTTCAGGGTCTATAAGATATTGAGTGGATGGCCCTGGTCTCCAAGAACCTCTGGGAGCCTTAAAGAAACTAAAACACAGAGTAGTCAAGGTTAGTCCTTGGAATGCATAAGGCCCCAGATTCTGTTTGACACATGGTGGTTTACAAGGATCCTTGGTCCACAGGATCGTTAAGTCCATTAGGGAAAGAAGCCAGTGTGTGGGACCTCTGGAGATTTAAAAGGGGAACAGAATTCTATAGGGGAGTTTGGTGGTCCCCGAGACCCACAGTCTACAAGGCCCCAGATTCTAGCAGATGATACTGATGTATCGAAACCCCCAGTCTGTAAGGAGCTGCACCTCCACGCGGGGCAATCAGGAACCTTAGAGCGTCTGTAGGACCTAGTGATCTATATGGAACGTGGCAGGTCTACACAAGCCCCAAATCATATGTAGGACGTGGCGGGTGTACACGGGCCCTAAATCCTACACGGGACTTGGCAGCGTGCATGGTCAGGGATGCTGGGGAGGACGTGCGGAGTCAGGGTCTGACGCCCGCGGGGGCCGCGTCCCTCACCTGCTCCAGGTCGGAGGCGAAGCACCGCAGCAGCCAGAACCGAAGCCTCCGCGCGCCGGCTCCGGGCTCCCCCACCCCCGACTCGGAGTCGCTCTAGCCAGCCCAGAGTCGGCCTTTGCGTCCAGCTCCACTCCTCCCGCCAGCCGTTCTAGCCTGCTCCTGCCGGGCTCCAGCCCAGAAAACTCTACTCCTCCTTGCCGGCCGCTCTAGCTCTCCGCTGAGCCACGCAGGCCAGATAGGGCCGCTCTGGCCTGTCTAGGAGGGCTGGCGTTTCCGGGTCTCGACTGCCCCCGTCACTCTCCTGGGCCCCGCCCCCCGCCCCCCGCCCCCAGGCCGGAGGCGGGGATAGTTCCAGCCCCCAGATCAGTGTTCGTTCAATCCGAGTCGCCCCGACCCTTAGCCATCCCCCCAGACTGGGGTCCCTGTCCTGTCTCGCCGCCCTAACGTGGGACCATTTGAATTCCCAACACCTATACATTAATTCTCCCTGCAGTCCCCCCAGACACCCCCGCACACTTTCTGCTGGGGCTGCAAAACAAAATCCTTTCCATCTGACATGCAGCGGTACCTGGAGAAAACGAAATACCTCTTCCCGGGCCTCAGTCTTCCCATGAGTACAATGGGGAACGATCTCCAGTTTTTGTCCCCTACAACGTATTTCCCAAGGTATAATTCCTGACCCAACCCAGAAAAAGACCTTTCCAAAAAATGCTTTCAAACGCGTTCTGCAACTTTCAGCTTCAAGACAGCCTATGGCCTATCGCCACTTTTCCTTTTGAGTGGCTCTAAAGTATGCGGACTTGGAGGACGGCACTTGGCTAAAAGCACCTGCGAGTTCAAATCCCAGCTCACTCAGTCTCACGATGTGCGTGCCTTGGGACGAGTTGGTTTTACTCCCTGGGTCTCAGTATCCCCACCCGTGCAATGGGAGTGATCATCAGTCCTCCGCCGGACAGTTGGGAAGCTCTGACCCCGGGCTTGCAGCCCTCATCTCACCTACCGGGCCCTCAGCAAGTATTCTCCTCTCTTTGTCCCCTTTGACAGATGGAAAAACTGAGGCCCAGGGAGGGGCGGCCGCTGGCTCAACCGGGCCGCTAGGAGGCCCCTCCACGGCCGGCAGCGCCCAGCCCCCTCCCTCCTCCTCCCTACTTCCCCTAGCAGCCGAGGGGAGGGAGGCCGGGCGGGGCCAGGGACGGCGTACCTGGTGTCCGCGCGGGTGGTGACCGGCGGGGCGCCCGAGGTCGGGCTCGGCGATCCCGGGCCCGGTGTCCCGGCTCCCGCTTCCTGGCTCTGGCGGGGCAGGAAGTTGGGGCGTTTTTCCGGAGGCCCCAGCCCCGCCGCCCCTCCTTGCTTCCTGCCCGCGCCCCGCGCCCGCCCGGCACCTCCGCTTCCTTCCCCTTCTCGCCGCCGGCCCCGCCCTCCTTTCCCCGCTCCGCCCTGGACCTGCGGGCATCAACCCCACCCGGACCCAGCCCAGTTTCTCCTGGCTTTGTCAGTCTGTCCCTCCGCAGGGCACGGGCACCACATTTCTCAGATCTGCCCGACGTCGGCCATCACCTTCCTGGCGAGGCAGGGGGCCCTGCGTCCGTCTCCACCTGCGTGTGGCCGCCCCTGCTCTGAGTCTCTGTGTTATCTCTTGGTCTTTTCTGTTTTTGCTTCTGTGTGTTTCTGTCCGTGTTCCTCTCTTTGCCTCTGCCTCTGTCTGCTACGTTGAGGTCTTTCCCTCTTGCTCCCGAGCCTCTGCTTCTCCCTGCTGTCTTTTCAACTCTTTGTCACTTTCTGTCTCAGAGACTTCTCTCCCCATCGCTGGGTCTGGATCTTTCTGCATGTCCATCAGTCATTTCCCCATCTATTGCTTTCCTTAGAGTCTCAGGGGTCAGCCTCTCTATGTCCATTTTCAATGGACTCTCCTTGCCTTTCTGTCTCTTCCTGGCCTCTCTCTCTGATGCCTCTCTCTCCAGTGTCTTTCAGTTCACTTGCTCTGTCTCTCCATCCTTATCTCTGTCTCAATTTCCCTCCCCTCCGTCAGCT